AAATTAATTAAACCTACTTAAATTAATTTTATTTACTTACCCTGGCCAAGGGGTTTTCTTTCTAATTAAGACTACGGGTCGGTAAGCGAGGGAACAACCACTATTAATACGCCCTCCTTTTTGTTTTCTTCCTATAGGTAAATGCCGGTAGAACCTCAAGAACACAGCGCACGTGGAGTGTGGAATAATCCTTATTAAGGATAATTTTGGGAATCCACAACCAGAGCACCAAAATACCAATATCCAACAGGTAAAGCACAATCCCAAAATCGAAAAATAACTTCCAAAACTAAACCCACTATCGGATGACTTAAATATCACTATATTTTTGAAAGTTAGCAAATCACACCCATTTCATGCGAAGTCTACTCAGTAACAACTGAATTTTTCTGTTCTCGTTAGCTACTACGCAAAAACGGAATTTTAACTTGATAAAGACACAATTGCCTGTTTTTAACGAAATTGTTAAACCCAAAAAAAAATATTCCTAGAACAAGTATTTGGCACTATCGCAGGTAAAGCTTCAAGCTTTTCGCACAAAAATCGAAATTTAAATCTTACACACAAATTAAACTAAATTATAGACTAGAGGTGGGACACAATTTTTGGACCGTTACACCTTATGAGTTGAACATTATATTTTTTCTACGGCTATTACATAATAATAAAAATTAGTTGAAATGAGAAAATGCTGTTTTGTATTATAACCTCAGAAAAAGGTATGTTAAAGCTTCTTTCTTTAGGAATATTAATTATTATAAAGGATGAGTCATATAAAACTCTAGAAATGCATATGTCTGAAACCAGATAACATTTTAAAATTTAAATCTATTAAAAGTCATTTGGTCGCTAGGGATGAGTGATTATCAAAATAAATTATCGATCATCGAAAATAATCGATTATTTTCGATCAATCGATTATTTTCAAACAATATATTTTTTGTCATTTCCTTTAAAATCGACTACTTGATTATCTTTGAAAAATCAAAAATAATCGATTAATTAAAAAGCCAATTAACCGATAAATCAGTGTTTACAAAATATAATATAAATAGAATTATCGTTTATTTTAAATAATCGATTATTTTCAAATAAACCATTTTTTTTTCGTCCATGGAAACAGATTATTCGATAATCTTTGAAAAATCGAAAATAATCGATTAATCAAAAATAATCGATTAATTAAAAAGTCGATTAACTGATAAATCGATTAAAAAAAAAACAGAATGATCGATTATTTTAAATAAGTGATTATTTTCGATCAATCGATTATTATCAATAATCTATTTTTATTGTATTTCCTTTAAAATCGTTAATTTGATTATCTTTGAAATACCGAAAATAATCGATAATTCCAAAATAATCGCCTAATCGAAAATAATCAATTAATTAAGAAGCCGATTCTATGATAAATCGATTTTCCAAAAAATAAAACGAATTATCTATTATTTTCTAATAATCCTTTTTTCATATTTCCTTTGAAATTGATTATTCGATTATCGAAAATAATTGATTATTAAAAAGCTGATTATCCAATAAATCGATAATTTAAAAAAAATAACAAAAATATCGATTATGTAAAATAACCGATTATATTCAATCGATTATTTTCATATAATATCTTCGAAAAATCGAAAATAATCAAATAATTAAAAAACCGATTAAACGATAAATCGGTTATTTTGAATAAATCTACTTTTTTTGTATTTCCTTTAAAATCGATTAATACATTATCTTAAAAAAAACGAAAATAATTTATTAAAAACAGCGGATAAATCGATTTTCATTAAAAAATATCAGAATTATCGATAAATCGATTATTTTTGTAACCCCTATCGGTCGCTTGCTTTTATCTGAGCATTTAGCTCCAAAATTTAGAGATTCGGATTTTTTGATCCAGTTATCTTTGAAATCGCATTCGATTGTATAATAAATAAATATTGCTAAATTTTGGATTTTTTTTAGTAAACGAAAATTATGTTCGAGTTGTTTAGGGGTTTGTAATGTAACATTTTATTAACGTGACTAAGGGTCGATTCCACTGTTGTGTTAAACGAAGTTTAAAATGACATTTTTACATTAACACTGTCATTTTAATCTCCGTTTAACACAACGGTGCAATCTCACCTAACTCCTGTAACTTTAGTATTTTTTTTGGGCTTATACTAGATTACTTTGTTTTAAGACTGAAAATTCAATGTCACTTTCGATTTGACCGCAAATAAGATGAACCTTGAAATTTTAAGTAGGTCATCCTGTATTTCATCTAATATTCTTATAAAAATACCTTATAAAAATACCTTATAAAAATACCTTATAAAAATACCTTATAAAAATACCTTATAAAAATACCTTATAAAAATACCTTATAAAAATACCTTATAAAAATACCTTATAAAAATAAAATTTAGCTAGCAACTATGATTCTTTACCTCTTATTTATTTACCAAAAAGGCCCAAAAACTACCTTTAGAAAACATTCTTATAAAACTACTTTTTAAATACAAAATTTCGTTAGCAATAATGCCTATTTACTATTTATTTAAATTAAATGTTCAAAATTTTACCCTTTTGTAAATTTATGTAAGTAATATGAAATCTGATTTCTGATGCTTAATATTTATTGAAACCCCTTAATGCGGATCTGAAGTATTCAGCCCAGAGAATCATGGCGCTTTATGTCAAAACGTTAATAAATATTTACCGCTGAAAACGAATATATTCATAACAGTAGTACTTGTATTATAAGTACATACAATTTTTCAAGATACATCTTGACATTTTGAACTTGAAATTGAATAACTATAACACTTTAAATTGCTAAAATACCAACAAATAAATCAAAAAACAGCTGTCAATGGTGATTAAACTCAGGTGGAGGAGATCGCTGAATGGAAATCGGAGCAATTCGGGTGGCGTCGTGCAACAATGATTTTCAATTGGTGGGTTACTTTGGCTTAAAATAGACAACATGCGCAGTGTGCAATGTTACATCTTCGGTCTCTTTAATCTAAGTGCTAGTATAACATTTAATGCTTCTCAAAAGATAAATAATATTGTGATTGTTGTGGTGTGATGTGCTATTCATTAGATAGATACGGTAGTCTGTCATAATATGTATAAATAAAACTGAATTGAATTCTGAAATAGCTAATTTTTGACATTATTGTGACCAATTCTCAATGATTAATCAAGCTTCTTAATTTTTAACTCAAGAAAATTGTTAATAACAAGGTGAAAAATAACAATTTTTTAATTTTTCCAACGGGAGTCTCTTCTGAGACCGTTTAAAAATTGCTCCAAAGAAAGAAAAAATCTCAGATTTGTTATTTAACAATTATCGCACTTTCAATGTTCATGTTCAAGTAGAAAAAATTAAATTAACTAATGCATAATAGAAAAATCACGATAAAAATTTTTTCACCGCGGATTATTGTTTATTCATCTATCCAGTATATCCCTGCATTTTTTCAATTCGTTATTATCATATTTAAAAGTTTAAATAATATGAATTCATTAAATGTCCACAGTAAGCGGAGCTAAGGTAAGCTAGAGGCTCCGTTTTCGGCCATATTTTCAACCCTCTGGTAAAATTATAAATATTGGTCCTACAGTTCCGGGAGGTAAAACTTTTTGGAAAATGTAAAATAGTTTTTGGGATATTTGTAAAAAACCAAAGCCTATTTTTTTTTCAGTTGTTTATAACTTTCGCAATTTTTGTAAGCGGCTCTTGAATTTTTTTCAAAAATAATTTACAAGCTATTCCGAATCGAATAACACCTCGTTCATATTTTTTGGAGGCGGAGAAAAAAGTTTGACTCAAAAAGCACTTGTTAACTAGACAAAAGACTACTAGAACAAAAAGGCAAATCACTGAAACTATATACGCAATAGGAAAAGAAAACAAATATTTTAAAAATATTCGCCTTTCGGGTACAACATTTGGCAAAGTTGTAAGATTGTGTAGCACCTTATAGAATATTATAAGGTGCTTTTTCGCGGGAACATTCATCAATAATGTTTTTTTATTCACAATTTTCTTCTAAATGCCTACCTAAATGGACAAATGAATGTTTTCTTGTATAAATAATTAAATATCATTATTGATTGTTTTCTCATAGGTAAATATAATTAAAACCTTCGATGCGTCAATTCTGAGTATATTAAAAAGTATATATTAGTATATTTTTTGTTTATCATCCTGTTAAGAGAAGCTCTTAGAACTATGTAAAAAAGCTACTAAAGCGCTTCTTGTCTTTGATATAATAAAACATACTTCTAACTAACTAGGAAAGAATCTTTATTTCATACAAAAAAGTGGTAGAAATATTACGGATTAACATCGACTATAAAAAAGCCAGGATACATCGCAGTGTATATTCAAAATTAAATTAGAAAATTACTTATACATGAATACATAATTGAACTTAAATCGAAGTTTTAATTTTTATTTTGAAGTTTGGGAAACAATTAGTAGAGATTAAAAATGAAAATCTGCTCGTGGATTTCCTTAAGATTAGCATATTATAAAAGTTACTGAATTTATTTCAAACTTTACCACATAATCACAATAAGTCCGACCGCTCATGAAAATAAGTTAAAATGTGTATTTTTTTAATTTTATTTTATTTAACAAAATAAAAAACAAACGCTCAAAACTAACCTATAAATCTTATCGTTTATTTCTGTATATTCTTCGCTAACTAACTATGCTAACTAGAGATTTTTCTAAAATTTAATTTCTGCAGTTAAGCTACTTCTGTTCTGAAGCGACGCAATATGTACACGTCAGTTTTATCACCGTTATTCTTAAAATACTCTTAAAATACTGTTCTTATAAATTTTATTTGAAATAAAAAAGTTATTTATATTAAAATATATAATAAAAGCAGAACCTCAGAAGTCCTCAAAGGCTATATTTTAGGTTTTATTTTAGTAAAGCACAAAATTTTTATTTAAAAAAGATCTAGTCGACAAACTACTCGTAAGTACATAAATACCTTTCTCTCCTAGAGCTTCAATTGTTGGAATGAAATCATTGTAGAAAAATATTTCTTTCTTAAAAGTAAATTTAGCCAAAAGTATTGTTGTCTCATTGGTTGTAGGCATGTACTTGGCGAAGCAACGAATAATATCTTCATTATCTTGATATTTAACAAAAATATTAAGTTTGTAATAATCTCCTAAGAATCCTGGTCGTTCTTCAATAAAATTCAGGTCGTATTTTAAAAATTCGTAATTTTCGGTTCCTAGTTTATTGCTAACAATTTTGTAACATTCTTCTCTTAGTATTTTAGGATAGAGAATTACTTCGATTAATTCAGAAATGGCTTCTAACAATTTTGGTTTATTTAACGGTTTTATTTTTGAATAAAACAGGATCATTTCCATTTTGATATAAGGAAGGTACTGCTTTATTTGATCTTCGAATTCTTCTTTTGTTACAACAGATTTTGTAATCTGAAGGTGGTTATAGTAACATTCTGCTAATTTGTGAAAATAATATTGTCTTTCTAGTTGGGATGTATTGCAAAATATTTCTAACAACAAATCATAAATTGGTGGGTTGAGAGGAGCACTTGCAGAGGATGTTGGCATTAAAAAGTTGTTTGGATTTGTTTTAAAAATATTTTCACTGCACTTTAATAGTTCTTCTACACCTTTTTTAATATGTAATGAATTTTCTGTTAAAGTATATTCATCCACAATTTTGAAAATTCTAGTAACATCTTTTTCATCTATCGGAACACTATTTTCGCATGTATTAAAATTTAAATTAGCTGTTTTGATAGTTTCCACATGTTTAAATGCTAATTTTTTTACAATTTTCTCTAGAGAGGTAAATGATTTAATATTTACAACCATCTTTGCGCGTTATTTGATTTTACCTTCACTTTACTAGTTGATTGCAGTTATACTTGTACTGGTTAAACATTATACTCGTCCCCACTTTTAATTGGTTCTTAACTGATTTCAAATATATACACTGAAAAAAGTATTTTTATATTTATATTTGTTATAACTCATTTACAATCGAGAAAACTCATTATGTAGAGTTTATGTGTATGCTTGACATTTTACACTTTCACACTACTCTGGAATCTAATAGATTGCTAATACTTGCTGTAATTCCAGGTCTGTTCATCCGTTCAAATTCTTCTAATAAATTTTGAAATTAAGCGAGAGCCTTTTCCATTTCCTTCTTTTTTACTTTTTTGTTCAATTTTTTTTTCTTTTAGCTTTATATTTTTAAATAGTTGTGCTTTATTTTATTTTGAAAATGTTCAAACTTAATAATAATATGTACCCTGTCCGTATATTTTTTATCATGGTCCAAACTAGATGTTACATTCTTCAACATTCTCAAGAACCTTATAAATGCTCTTGGTATATTCGAAAAAATATTGAATCCATTCCAGAAGAAATTAGAAAATTGACAAGAGACATGAGGAGAGGCACTACAAACCTTTCAACTTCTAGAAACCCAGGACTATGTGCGTGGACTTAAAAACCTTTTGTGTAAGTGAAGTGATGGTAATAATGCTGAAAATTTACCTTTACCACTGACGTATTTGCAGATACTTTAAATACTGTAAAGTTATTTTGCTTAAGAAAAAGGAGATATGCCAATTTCCATAACCAGTATTTTTGGTAAAGTAGTAGAAAAGGTTATGATGCAGACGCTCTATGATTACTTTAATAAAAAATAATTTCTACGAATAACTTTTCTGCAGTGTAGGAATGTTGTTGATATTGAATAAATATGTTACTAGTTTAAAACACTTTAGAAAAAATATATGTGTCATATATTATATCAATTAAAGAGAACCTAATATGTTTATTTATTATTCTCTGTTTAAAAAAATAATTAACTGATGTTTATCAACATTTAAAAAAGCGACACAAAATAAATTTACATAGTAAGTAAATAGATGAATTTTTTTTTACCATAAATCTTGGTAAAAATGCGGTTTGATGCAATCTGTCAGATATGCTCTTAGGATCACATCTTTTTCGAATAAGTACACTTTATATCGTAAAGATCGTAAATATTCTCAATTGGGTTGTACCGTACAACTTTTATTATTATAGGCATGGCACAGTTTAAGTTCACGTTGAAACTGCTTATAAGCAAATTGTGCTAGTAGCTTGTATGCCAGTAGCTTGCATGTGCCAGTAGCTTGCAGACCGAGGATACATTTGCAAGTAAAATTGCATGTCAGTAGCTTGTATGTGCCAGTAGCTTGAAGACGGAGGATACATTTGCCAGTAGCTTACAAGCCTTCGGGATCGCGGAGATTTCGAATAGGTTAATACAACGTTTCACGCTAACCTGTCCCAGAATTTTAAAGTGTTTTTAGTTTTTAAATGTTCACAAATGGCCTTTCACATAGAAAAGGTTCGAAACGAATTAAATAGTGTAATATTGTCACTTGCAATAGAATGTGTACGTCAAATAATACAACCTAAATGGAACAGAAGAAATAGGACCAAATTAAAAAAAAAAAAAAACATATGCGAAACGCAATCCCAGCCAGAACTAAATTGGAAATAACTTTAAGATTTTTAGCAACTGGTGACTGATACGTATCTCTGAAGGCATTATTTAGAGTAGGAAAATCTACAATTTTAAAAAGTACTTAATTCCTTACGATTATACTTTATGTTAGACAGAGAGTATAGTTATACGTGATTCGGTTTTTAAATCGAGACGACAAAGAAAACAGTTTAAAATATGTAATTATACACTATTATTTTTCTTTTACATTTTGTACATCGCTCGAACATATATAGTTGTTAAGGCTCGTTTTATTTTAGATCAGCATCAACTTAATAGAACCATAAGATCTTGGTCTTGGTGGATTCCAAAAAGAAATATTTGACACCGAAATTTTTAAATTTGTATAAAATAAACTTACCTGCGTTTTGTGTCTAGTATCTCTAATGGCCTTGATCATATGAAGACCCATTTCAACACAACAATGTGCATGATCAGATCTAGGAGTCGGCAGTCCTGATACACAGTAGTAACAGTCTCCCAGCAGTTTTATTCTTAAGCAATGGTTTTCCTTAAATAAATAAACATGTAGGAGAAATAAGATTAAGATAAGAAAAGTTATGGTAATGGAACAGTGTCAACACTACAAGAAAACTGACAATTTCGTTATTAACCACCACTACTTTACGTGTTCATAAATCTCTGATATTATACTTACTGTGCTGCAAGGTGAAACCTTCGGTCCTGCTTTGCTTGCATTAGAGTAAATAATTAATGGTGCTCGGGCATGCAGGAAAAGAAACGACACATTATCAATGCTGTTATTCACAGGTCGAGTTAACGTTAACATCGGTACTATATCCTTTATCTCCAACACAAGCGCAACTGGACCGAAGGTTTGTTCTTGCCAGCACTGAATATTCTTTTTAATAATACTCTCCCTATTCACCCTCTTACTAGTGAATTTTAACCCCAGAAGAAAACCTTGTGCGGGGTAGGGATAGCTATCATTATTATTTGGCGTGGGCGCTTCAAGGCGACTTACAAATGATTGATGGTGCCATTTGACGTACAGGTGAGGAAAACACAGAAAACCCCACCCACCATCAATATTTATTTATTTTTTAGTAAACTAAAAAAAGCAAGATATCAGTTACTACTGTCTTTTTAGCAGAATACTCTGTTGTTGTGATGAGCCATTGTACACTTAGTAAACAGGACAGTCTTTGATCGGTTATTTCTGAAACGCCTGTGTTGTTTGTCATTGTAGTTGTAAGATGTCAATTTAATTTTGTGCTAATAATTTTCTGATTCCTCCTTTGTGTTTTTATAATATCTAATTGTCTATCATTTTTAATTTTGTGCATTTATTAGATAAGGATTATTTCTGAAAAAAAAAAACGATGAAGTATTGTTTATTGTGTAATGTATGTATGCAGTATTTACTATGTAGCTATAGAGATTCTTCAACAGTACCAGTATATCCAATGATCTGGTAAAACCAATGAATTGGAGTGGGGTAGAATGCTTGTCAATAGGCTTGAGATGTAACTCTAAGGGGGCAGCCATATTATTTTTCATTTCACTCGGGTGTATTTATAATAACCATTTTCTATTTCACATTGGTATTATCTGGTCCATCAGATTGTGGACTAAACAATAAGAATGTGAAACAGAAAATGGTTATTGTGAATATTCCCGAGTGAGATGAACAATGACTGCGCCCATAGAGTCGCACCTAGTTCAATTGATACAACATTCACATTGGCATTCTATCCCACTCCAGTTCATTGGTTAAAACAAGACAATAGAACGGAAATAGCATTTTTAGTGAAATTTAGACAATATAATTGTCAGTTCTGTCAAATACGTCTAAATACGTCAAATATGTTATTGTTTTGGGAACTGGTGACAGCAATTATTAGGGTGCCTGGGATTATTGAATTCTATTTAATAGTAAAGAGGGGTTACTTTGAATGAGTGGCCTAAATTTTAACCTTCTCCTTTACTTTTAGTTTTCTTGTAACAATGCAATGCAGATATTTTTAAGTGTTCGAATTGCGAATCAAAAGTAGGCAGTCGGCTGAGTGTCTGCGTTGTTATAAGACTAATAACTATGCGTTTACAACTTAATTCGTATTTTTGAGGTTCTATTACTGGGTTGCAAACAAACATCAGTAACTTTTATCCTCTAGATCAGAGGCCATACTGATTACTCCAGTAAATTCCAAGGGCCAAAACCGTTTTAATTTTTCTGCAATTATCTATCATTTCTGGACTGGTCGACCAGTACACGCCCTGAGCGAGCATACGCTTGCTAATTTCGCTAGTTGAATTACTATTGTGTATTGTTACGATCGTGACACTTGACGAAATCTGGCGGTCAAAAGCGGAAATAGGTAGTGGTAGTACCTTCTATCGCTAACAGATGGCGCTAGTAGTACTTTGAAATCGCAGTAACAATTATTCATTCGTGAATAACCTCAGTAGTTCAAGAAAGTTCTGGTGTATTCCACTTTGTCTAGGGAAGGCGAAGGAAGCAAAACTGTCTTTTGTCCACCAATCGAAGCTTTTAGTGCTTTGAAGATAAATTTTGATATGTTTCAGACTTTGATGTCATTGCGAATGAAATTAACATTTTTCAAAACTCAAAATTATTGATTTATACAGTGAAGTGATATAATTAAGAACAAATATCAAAACTCATCTTTGTTGGAATTTTCTAAGAGTCTTCCACTGGTACAATTTGATAATTTGCATAATTTTGCTCGTTGGCTGTTTTCTGTTTTTGGTACTACTTACTTGTGCGAGAAAACATTCTTCAAAATGAAGTACACAAAGAATGTTTACAGATCTAAGTTAACCGATGAGAATTTTAAATCGCTTTTAATAATTGGTACAAGTAAAATTGGCCCACAACTACAAACTATTGTCAGTGGAAAATCAAAATTACATAAATCTTATTAGTATTTTTTACAAGTAGACACCCCACGGTTTCATTCGCGTCTAGTCATCTTCAAGGAGATTATCGATTAATAAACCTGAAGAGATACCAGCTAAATTATAGACTGTCCAGCTATTGTTTAAATCTTAAACCAAACATATAAGCAAGAAAAAGTATATGGACCTAATTATCCTAACTCAAGGAAGAACCCTTATGTAAAAGTTGTGAAACCCTCATAATGATGTTATCATGTTGGGTATGGGGTATAAATGCATTTCAATTTAAAAGATCTATTGTACTCCATTTGTCGCTAGTGCATCAAGAAAGTAATCCATACCGACCCTCCCAATTCTATATTCTTAAGGAAACGTAGAATTTGGAGTGGCTTCAAGTTAGGTAGATCGACCTCTTCTATTTGATATGCTCTTGGATTCTTAAGTGCTACTTATTCGGTCAGAATCTACACTTACTATCTTCTACTGCTCTTAGTTTAAAGTGTCCTTTGAGTCGGCGATGCCTCGTAAGGATACCTGTAATCATAAGTAGTCTGTTCTTGCTCTAACAGGTACAGGCTTCCGATCTTTCCTGGTTATATTTACCCAGAAATATATTAACCTCTCCTAGCCCCAAGAGATTGTTCCAATCATTGGTTCTTTTAATGCCCAATTGCTCCTAATATTGAGCACCTTTTCTGTTAAAACTATCTGCATTCTCGTTATACTTTACCCTGTTATGTCACTCAAGTGAAAGTGACTGTATTTTTCTCGTCTAGGGTATTCAGTTTTTCTGGGAATCTCCAGACCATTTTTGAGCTGATTTCATAAGAGCTCAGGGCTTTGCTTTGATGGCTGCTTAGATATCAGACATGATAATAATCTCTTACTTGCAAAAGTTTCTTTCGTTGTTGGACTGGATACACTTCTCAATGACGTTAATTTTTACCTGGAAGATGCTTGGGTATTTACCCAAACTTTCAGAGTGGCTGATTCTAGGCCCATACACTCCTATTCCAGTTCCTTCTAAGACTTAATTTGGAAAGTATATGCATCTAGTCGTCCTAACTCATGCAAGGAAGAACCCCAGTAGTGGAAAACAAGAATTTTTAATTAGTCATTTCCTCATAATGATAATGATTTATTTTGGGATACATGATTTCTTCATTGTGACTTTGTGTTTTTACTTTTGTTTTTACGAATTTCACGTTGTTTTCATAAATAATGTTGTTTTGTTTCGAATTCGCACATTGTCAGTGGTTAGTGGAACCTGGAAAAATTACAAATTGACGTATCTCATTCAAAATGATTTTTTTCATAATCTGAGCTGAGCAACCGTGAAATCATTGGTTCACATCCATTGATTGCAGGCTTAGTCAATGGATGTGATTAATCTATAAATAAAGAATTACAATAGTTGCCCTAATCGTCACTCTAAAAGACTTGCATGGTCACTCTAAAACTTCAAATGGCTCTCTTTTTTTATTAAATGTTTTTGTTTCTGTGTTGCTTTTACATTGTTATTATTGTCCTAGCTATGTACCATAATAAAATTTTTACATTTTTTGGGAATTTGAAAAGGTGTACTGAATAATTAATATGCAGATATCTGGAAAACGGTCACTCGGAGCGACATTTAAAAAGTATACATTTTTGCGTAAAAAAGATGGAACATACATAATACAACAGGACACAAAAAAGTTTTGTCATTTTACAGAGATATCATGTACAGTAAGTGACTCCCTCTACAAGTGGCATCCGAACTAAGACCGGATTTAAATTTCTTCCCTCAAAAAACACTTAAATTCATAATTTTATGCCGGTGTGTTGTTCTATTGATAAAATATTAAGAAAAATCAAATTAAAAATTATAACTTTTGGACTAAGGTAAGTTTGGTTAATTTTTACCCAAAGAATCTGCAGTTTTGCTGAATATCAATTATTAGCGGACACCCTGTGTATTTTTATATTCTAAAGATAAATTAAACTTAATTAATATTTGGTCTAAAATAAATATTATGTGCATTTTAAGCCATGTTCGAATTTACCCCAACCTTTACTTATAAAAAAATATTTTTAATTTTGCTTTTTTATAATTTTCATGATCGGAATGCCTAAAGGAAAATTCAATTTATTTTAAATTTTGAGTAATTTTCTTAAATATTCAAAAAATCTCCAAATGCCTTCGAAGTAACATATAATTTGCAAAATTAAAGATAAATAAATCCTACCTACAAACAAATATTTTTACGTTTTCTGGAAATTTTTATATTCTTTAAATGACATTTTATTACGAGAAGGTTTCTATTTTTATCTCTCTGCTACGAAACACATTGTTAAATTCCGTTGTCTTTACTAATTTTATCATTGTTGACATTGATATCTCTATACCAGGCCAACCACTATTAATAGTTTGGTTAATCAATGTAAGGTCAAGTTTTCTTGTTTGTTTTATTTTTCATTAGATGGTTACTGTTTGTTATAGAATGTTCTTTTTATGTTTCAATGTAAATTTGTTTTGATAAGTATACTTACAGCTGCAAGTTTGTCAAATCTTGCAAACAATTCGTTGAGAATCTTGACTAGTTCCTGGGCGGTACATTTTGTGGACAAAACTAAAAAAAAAAAAACGAATTCCTAGTTAGTATTGAGAATTGATAACGGTATATTTTAAAAGCATAAAAGATTTATTCATGTCTAAAAAATAAAATTTGTGTGGTAATGGATTTAAAAACAAAGCAATAAAAACTACACTACTTTAATATACATACATTTAATATGCAAACATATTTTTTTAACCATATCGAATAATATGTATTTATTTACTAGCTCTATAAAATTTTATTATTTTATTATTAAACAAACATTATTTTGTTGACAAACAAGATTCATAATTTAGCTAATCTCATTCATTTTTTTTATTTTAGGTAATAACTAATGTTTACATAGAAATTTCAATGTTAATACTTTTTAACCGTGTATAGAAGTCATTAAAATAAATAATAGTTCCAAATAAAATGCGTCCAATACGGTCCTGTCTAACTCGGATACTTTTTCAGTAATTTTATATAAATATAATATCTTTTAAAATACCGGTAAAAGGAAATTGAGCGATTTCATTGAGACGAAATACTTATTTAACCTTGTCTCTATGATCCTACTGTTGGAATTAAGCAGAATAGACGTTCGTTATTCCTGCATAAATATAGATCATTAGAAAGTCGAGCGATTCTTGATGATATTTCTGTTTTTCTGGATTTATACAGGGAAGAACGTGCGAAAAAATCGTGCGATTTTTTTAGTAATTCTATACAAAAATAATAGCATTTAAAATACCAGGCGATATTTTCTAAGAGGAAATCGAGCGATTTCATTGTGACGAAATACTCATTTAGCTTTGTATTTTATGATCCTACTGTTTGAATTAAGCAGGACAGACGTTCGCTATTCTTGCATAAATATGATCATTGTTGAGCGATTCTTTATGATTTTTCTGTTTTATGGATTTATACAGGGATAAACATGCGTTATCTCTTCTGAATAATAACTAAAATAAAATCGTGCAATATAAAATAATATACAGTGGGGTCTTTCCTCTTAAAGTTCTGGGCGGTACTCAACCCTTAACTGGTGACCCTACTTTTAGGTTCATAAATAGTAACCATGAATCTAACAGACTCTTAGCGAATTTAATAACATTTTTTTAAATTAATAAAACACTATTATTATGGTATTTTTAAATTTATTGAACAAAAAACATCAAAGTGTACGTATCACAATAAAAACAAAAATGTTAAATTTATTGACAGAAAATTATTACAAGGCATATTCCAAAAAAATCTTAGTTATATACAAAATTAATGCAAGTATATTTTATATAAAATGCGTCAAAAAAAAAACAGAAAAATATAAATCCTACAAAAATCTGCAGATAACAAAAATACACGAAAAAAATTAGTCTTGCTCTACCCTGGTACAATTTTTACATATTTTTAGAGAACAATGATTGGCTCTTTCTTACTCCACTTATACCTGTTCTTTCCAAAGTAATAATTAGTGAAATTGACACACTTTTCCTCCTATTTGCTAGATATCGTGTGGCGAAGTCACTAAATTTTATTTTTAATTAATTTTAAAAATGTATATTTCAATTAATTCCCGCCTGAGGACATGTAGAATATCCTGTTTTCCAGGAATTACCGTTTTTCAACAATTGCGAGTACCCTCGTAGGTTAAAATATTTCTATATTTACCGAAACCCGAATGAGCATTTGTAGATTCAATTTCGTATCAATTATCTACTTGTATTTATCAAGGTACAAGTAGGACATTTTTTTTTTATTTTTAAAATGTAAACAGTCTGCTGTAGTGGTGGTATCTCCCACTCTGGCTTACCAGTCTTCAAGCTTGCCCAGGAAAAAAGCATAAATTCGATTACAACTGATAATGGTCCTCTTTTGATTGCCGGCCGCCGTAAGCTCTTCTCTTTTATTACCGACGAGTGATGAACTCAGTGAGTGACCTAGATATTGTTAGACTTCTGAACAATCCCGTTTATTTTTCTAAGGTAGGAAACCGCAAATTATTATTTTTTATTTACAATTAGTTTGGGACACCCGTCCGACAAGTGAAAAAATTTTTGATTTATGCCCAGGATATTTCATTTCATCCCTTAGTGGTAAATGGCATTTTTTTATTTGAGGCTGGATATAGGCTAGACTGCGAGTGCTCTCAATTTCGATTACTATATCCAATCTCTTTTAAGAAGCGCCCAGTATTTTTTATTTCATGTAAGTTTCTTTACTAACTAATTATTAAACGAAGCCCGACGTTCTCTATCATAATTAATTCCCACACCGTTTTGATCGGGTTTGGCAAGTCTTAAAATAATTTTTTCTTTAATCATCGCATTCTCCTTCCAAACACCGCGCTAAAAATTATCATTTTCGTTCAACGGAATTGCCAGAGCGTCGATCGGTCGGAACTAAGATACGGGGGGGGTACCGAAAACTTTGATTTCATTTATTTTCTTACATTTTATTACCGTCATATTTAATTAATTTATTTTTAAAATTAATATTCTGTATACAGGGAATTTCACAATTTCCGAACCGATGTGCTAACGAACTGCAATTATTTTCATATAGTTTTTTTTTAGTTTTTAATTGTAATAATTTATTTTTAAAATAAATTTTTCCAATACAGGGAACCATAAATATTTGACTAGTTTTCAATTGTAATAATTTATTTTTAATAGATTTTCCGAATACAGGAAACCATAAATATTTAACTAGTTTTCAATTGTAATAATTTGTTTTAATCAATTTTCCGTATACAGGGAACCATGAATATTTAACTAGTTTTCAATTGTATTAATTTATTTTTAATAAATTTTCCGTATACAAGGAACCATAATTATTTAACTAGCTTTCAATTGTAATAATTTATTTTTAATTAATTATTTTTCTGTATATAGGACGCCGTAATTACTTTCTTGTAATCTCATTCAATTGTAATCATTAATTTTATTTAATTTTCCGTTTACAGCCGTGCCAAAACCGTGCACTACCGCCGATGTATTTTTTTTTTGTAAATATATATTTTATTATCTATTCCTGCGTTTCTCTTATTGCTGGTTCTTAACCGTTCTCTTTCAGGGTACCGTAGGGTACGAGGTGTAAGGGAGATAAGTGTTTTATTTTTTTATTTATTCTAGTTTAGTGGCTACTTAGTTAGCAGTGACCGCCTGGAAATATTTTTAACTCCACTGAGTTTACCTTGAGTACACTCTGGTGTACTACAGGGTCGCAGAGCAAAACTGGCGCCTGAGCAACCCCTATTCGGGAATCACCATCATAGCGCCACACAGACTTGCTGATTCACTGCAGGTGAACCAGAAGCCTGTCACAACCGTTTCCGGGTCATGTTCTCTTTTATTTTGTGAAAGTTCTTCTTCGCTGTACATTAAATGATCACTGTAATAATTATATCTACGGACAAGCTCGGAAAATTATAATTAATCTTCCTTAAGGTAAGTCGTTTAATTCATTCCGTGTATTTACAGACGTGTTGTAAACTAAACTTTTTATTAAACTCCACACTACAAACTAACAGGTTAATTGTAAATAAATAAATAAATGCCCCATAAAGAGCGTCTAAAAAAACTGATAGGTTCTCTTTGCGTGATTGACTAGAAAAACGATTAAACACAGGCCTGTATTTGGGTTTTTTAATTTATTATTATTATTTTTTAATTATTATTTTAATGACTACTATTCACAGTTAAAAAATATGAACCTAGGAATTACCCTGTTTTTTTTTATGTAGGTATTTTTATTATTTATTTAATTTAAGATTACCTGTAAATCCTTTTATATCGGCGAATAATATGCTGACATTTTCGTAACGGTGAATATAGATCTTGTGAAACTGGTTAGGATGAAAAGCTCCCCCTCTTTCTTCTTTTTCGATATCTCTAATCATATCTTTGGCAACAAAATCCGGTAATACTGCAAATAATAAAATATATAAAATAATACAGAAGCTCAATGATGTATTTATTTTTAGTCTTTCTTTTAATTAAATTCTCATTCTTTATTGGAAATTCTAAGAAAGCAAATTATTCTATGTACCATTATAAAATTTTGTTTTTCTTGTTAATGTAACTATTAATTGGTAATGTCGATACAATCTTGACATTGTCCCTTGTGGTTTATTTTGATATTCCAGAATTAAGTATTCGTATACGTTTTATTAGCTTAAACCAGACGGTTTAAGTATTAATAAAGTTAAATCCATCAGTTTAGAGGTTCCTCTGGGACTTCTGAATTTTTGTTTGTTTTGACAAATAGTTTCAGCGGTTATCTACATACAAGGTGTCCCGTTAGTGCGTAATTGTTAAATATTTTAATTTGTGTTATGAACACGCAAACAAATCTCCAATTAAAGTTGGATTTAAAAATACGTATTTTAAAAACATTTTTGGTTATACAGGGTGTTTTATTTCAGTTTTAGAATGTCTTGGTAATACTGTATTAATTTATCATGATTTAGGTAGGTTTACAATGATTTCAAAATTTTTTAATACACAGACTTATTAGATACTAAGCTAACGAATGGTGGTGATAGAACTGGTTTATTTTATATCAGAGTTTCTTGAAACATGTCCTAAATATGGCTAATTTGGAGTTAAATTTACTAAATTTTTTCAAATGCAACACCCTGTATATTATTTTTGCAAAAAATTCCTTATAAATTTACCTATCCAACGATACCAACAGGTTAGTCAATAACCCACATAACATCAATGTTCTATGAATATACCAAGAACGTTCTGTTTAAGTTCTTTTTAGTATATCCTTTTAGAATGTTCTTAGAACATACCTAGAATATACTTTGAAAGTATATACTAAGTACGTGCCTTAAAAGTATATTCCAAAAAGTATATACTGAGCACGTGCTATAACAGGACATTCTTAGAAGATACTAAAAGTCATATAACCAGCATGAACCTCATGTTCTGAGAATGTTCTAAATGCTTGCAGGTAAAAATTAACACCAAATACATGTAAAAACAAGTTTATATACATATCTACACGAATTTTTCCCAGATGCCGATCTAATAATTCGCTACCAAACGCACTAATGTTGAATGTTTAGGCCAAAAAACATTCTCAAACTAAAATAGAAGAAAAGAAGAAGAAAAACATAACCTACAATTCCTATAAATTTTTTTGATTTCGATTGTTTGTAAGAGGTAAGTCAATTAATAAAAATTAATTGCATCATATGTTCTATATGAAAGTAAACAAATTTTAATATATTTATAGTTTTTAGGACCTATAAGTGACGTTAGAACACAGGATATCCCAAATATTAATTGCCAGTGTGAATTTATTAATATAGTTAATACTAATGGTGGATTGAAACTAAAATACCGTGTTACCAGAATTACATACACACTTTCTATGAAAAAAATCCTGTAAGGAACTAGAAAAGTTAGCTAAAGGAGGACGAAAACTACAAAATGGTGGTAAGTAATTAACAAAAATATATTTAAACTTTCAGTAAACATCATAATCATTTATGTAACTCTTGTTTTTGTTAGTGGAATGCCATGTACAATTTTTAATGTTTTATGTTCGACAAAAATATTTTAAATATTCCATTAGCTATGTACACTTAATTTGTATATGTACCAAGTTTGTTAATTTTTTTATTTTTTAGGTTCTTAGAAGATCCAATGGAATCAAGCAAATGAAACTCAAGTCATTGATACAATAACATATTGATTGGTTAAGGCCAAAGATAGTATTTGTAATAAAAATAAGTATGAATTCTTTGAAATAAAGACTCATTATATACACTTGTTCTTTAATGTTCAATATTAATTAAACATCCTATATTAAGGTGTCTAGTATATGCCTAGCATATGCTATATTTAAATACTTAGCATATACTTAGAACGTACTATCAAATTAAAGTAGATACCTGTTGCATACTGTACACATACTTGAAGTACATTCTCAGTATCTGCATAGAACGTATAAACAACGTCACGTAGCATATGCTTAGCATATTCTGAGAATGTACCAAATGCAAATACAGTATATTCTCAGCATATGCCTATTCTTAAAAAGTATATACTAAGAATATGCTAAGAATGTTTAATTGTTATCTGGGAACACATATACCTACAGGGTATCCGTACAGTGCGTAATTGATCGATAGCTGTTTTATTATTGAAAATATGAAAAAAAAATATATAACAGTTGTATGACCATGTGTAATAAATATTCTTCAACATAGATGGTAGTCAATAAACAAAGGGCTGACCAAACTTATACATTTTTATAGCAAAACATCCTGCAGTTAGTTAGTCATATTTAATTGTTTTACATCGTCAAACAATTTTAATAGATTTCATTTATTTTCTATGTTGTATATAGAGTATGTCAAAAAGAGAGGTAATGATTTTGTCAATTTTTTAACTGGAATACCCTATGTTATAAAGCAATTAATAAATACAAGGTATTCCATTAAAATTGAGAAAATCGTAACCTCACGTTTTGATACACCCTATATAGAAAATAGCAAATAAATGAAGTCAAATAAAATTGGCTTAGTATCTTATATGTCTGTATATCAAACAATTTTGAAATCACTTTAAACCTACCTAAATTATGATAATTTAATTTGAGGTCTGCATTATTCTCTAATTTCAAAATAAATTAATTGCTTGGCAAGACTGTAATATTTTTTTACCAAACCATTTAAAAACTAAAATAAAATATTCAAAAATATTTTTAAAATAGTGAACAATTACGTACTAATGGGATATTTATTAATTTTAAGGGATGTTAGGTACTTAGTAAAACAAGAAAATAAACATCTTTAAATTATGCTATTGATTGTCATATAGAATGGAACGATCACTTTCATGGGTTTTTATCTCATTAATTTTTCAAATGGTCATTAAAAATGAAAAAACCGCGGTGTGCTATTAGACCAAAGGGTGGAAATTGGAGATTGAAAATGTAACCCCTACAGTTTTTAATTATATCTCAAAAACGAAGCAAAATTCAGTTATTGTTAATAAAAATGTTTTTGTAGGGAATGCGATTTCATATGGAAATAGTTTATTTAAAGAAATTCATACATTATTTTTATGTAAACAATATAAAAAAAATAAAGCAAACATCGACATGTTTTCTTTTTACATTTTTGGTTTTTGCGTTTTCTGATCAGAGATAGGTATTGACATTGCTTTACATAAAAAAGTAGGTTAAATTTCCTTTTAAAATGCTGTATTTAAAAAGTTTTTTGGATAAAAAGAAACTGAGATACAGCCAATTTTTATGGCTTTACTTTGATATTGTTTTAGTTCTTATTTTTTTACAATAAAAAAATTGATTGATAAAAAGTATTTTTACGAATTTGTAAAACTATTTTCCACTTATGAACAAAGTTACAACTAATTATCTTAAAAATTATTTTTTTACGATCTACTATACTGTAAAGGGTCTTTACAAAAACATACCACATATTCTTTAGACCAAAATAAGTCGATTTAAGTAAAATTACCTTAGTACAAAGTTGCTTCGTTTGGGCTCCAGAGGGCCTTGAAGTTACAATTTTTAAATCGTTTTTCCCATATAAATTTAAAACGGCATATACGATTTTGCTGAAATTTGGTATATTGGTAGAGTTTTAAGTGGCAAAAAAATGGTATTAAAATTTTGTCCGATAATAATACATAGGCGTAGAACTTGATTTTTTAAATAATTGCACCTTTAAAAATTCTGCGCCAATGGAAGAAAAGGAGTTCGAGTATGAAATTTAGATTGCGCAACTCATAAAAACAAAACAATTTTTGAGAATAATTACTTGTTAATTTGTTTAAAATTCCATCACAGGCTTATAAATTCGTAAAAATATTTAATTTTTATTTATATATTAACTTAAAATACCTTTTTAATAAATAAAATCAATTTTATTGTAAAAAAATAAGAATTGCAATCAAAATAAACGCGATAAAAATTGAAAAAGTGCCAAAATTTGAGCGATTATATCTCAGTCCGTTTTTATCCAAAAAACTTTTTTACCCACCATATTAAATGAAATTTAATTTACTTGTTTTTATACAGTGAGCACCATAAGTCTTATCCCCCTATCTAACTCATTACTGGAGTCTTGTTAGGAAAATTGCCGAGACAGGTCGATTTTTGATTTCTACAATGTATATTTTTGTATGATTAGTTTACCCTTAATTTCATCCCTTACTGGAGGGGAGCAACCCTTTCGAAACATTTAAATGGCATGGGGTGGTGAGTAATAGCTTATTTGAAAGGGGGTTTTATTCTCTATTCAACCGTGCAAAAAAAATTTAAATTTGCTTCATTACGTGTTGATTTATTAATGTTTAAAAATAACAAAACCTCACAAAACAGGAAAGCAACTAAACTAACAGTGACCTTCTAATGGCAAAAAGTCTTACTTCACGTCTGAACTAAAACCGAAATCATGCAGGGCCGAATTTTAATTCTAAGGATGAGTGCGCTACGTTAATTTCCGTTATTCTGAAACAACAATTAGTCGAGAATTAATGAAGCAAATTTCAAAATTTTTTACACGGTTGAATAGAGAATAAAACTCTCTTTCAAATGAGCTATCACTCACCACCCCATGCTTTTTAAATTTTTCGAAAGGGTTGCTCCCCTCAGTAAGGGATGAAATAAAGGGTAAACTATTCATACAAAATTGTACACTGTAGAAAACAAAAATCGACGTGTCTCGGCGATTTTCCTAACAAGACTCCAGTAATGAGTTAGATAGGGGGGGGAGTAAGACTTATGATGCTCACTGTATAAAGCAATGTATATACCTATATTTGCTCAGAAAACGCAAAAAAAAATAAAAAAAAAATAGATTTTTTGCTTTATTTTTTAAATAATATTTTTCTATGTGAATAATTTTATAGCTCACAACATCGATAGTGACAAATCTAATT